AATATTTCCTAGGGCAATGTTTCCCAAAACATCCTCACAATTTCTGACACTTCCAAGTATTCACTTAATAGTGTCTCGAATAGTTTAAAAAACTAAAATAAGTTGAAAAAGAGAACTCACATAAGCACATTATCTGTATTACATCAGTTACATTTTAATATTTTAAACATCTTTTTTTTTTAAAGAGAGACAGAGAGAGAGAGAGAATTTTTTTAATATTTATTTTTTAGTTATCGGCGGACACAACATCTTTGTTTGTATGTGGTGCTGAGGATCGAACCCCGGCCGCAGGCATGCCAGGCGAGCGGGCTACGGCTTGAGCCACATCCCCAGCCCCTTAAACATAACTAGCAAAAAGCATTTTTTTTTTAACGTGCAACATAAATCATCTTGTACCCCAAGGATGGCATGTGTCCTGACTCTAAGAAATCGTCTACTAGACCTTCCAATTGTTCTCACATTCCCTCCCAGGGTTCTTTTCCAGGTGTAACTGATTCCATTACATTCTTCCCTCTAATTAACTGCAAACACCTCAGCATGGCATCAGAATCCTTCACATGCTGGTTCCCAGCCTATCTTTACAGTCTGGGAAGGTTAGGATGACCTTTCTAGGGACACTAGTTACCATCTCAGTAACACTAAGTCATAAAAAATTTGATTTTCTCATCTGTAGAAGAAGGATGGTAAAAATGCCTTGCAGGATTCCTGCCAAGGCGAACTGAGACAACAGATGTAGAAAAACTCCCCCCACAATGTTCCCCATCCGATCCTTTGGTTGGTGCCTCGCAGCTTTGACAGAGTAGGCGCGAAGAGGGCAATGCCCTGCTAGCCGTTTATTCTCTCGCGGCACGAGAACGACGGAGGCAGGAAGGGGCCTACACCGGTGACGTCTCATAAATGTTTCCATTATCCGATCTTAGTAAAAATTCACTGCGACCCCATCGGGGGGAAGTCATTACCCTCCTCTTACAAGTGAAGAAGAGAGGCTCTGTGTTTACGCGAACCACCCAAGCCTGGCAGCTGGAAGCGGTGGGACCGCACTGTTAACCCCGCGCGCGCCAGGCCCCGGGTCCCCGCCGCACCTGGCGGACCCCGTTGTCCTCGGAAGTGCTTCCCCTGGAGTCTCACCTGGCCTTTGGGGCGAGAGGCCTCGGCGGCTAGCGCTGGGTCCGGTATTGCCCAGGACAGCCCCAAACTCCGGTGCTGTTCAGCTCGGCCGCAGGTCGTCTCCCGCCGCCTTCCAAAGCCCGCGCTCCCGTCACGTGACCTGCCCGGCGCGCACAGCCTTCTGGGAAGCATCGTGCAGGCCCCGCCCCTCAGGCCGCCGCTGCCACAGCGCCCGGTCCTGTCGCGGAGAACCGGCTCTGTCAGAGATCCTGCCCTACCCTTCTCTGCCACCCGTCCCCGCTCCACCTACTCGGGGCCCCCACAGGCCCAGCTCACCCAACACCCGAACCCGCAGGACTACAAGTCCCACAATGCCACGTGCGCGGGGACACCGCCTCTTCCGGCCGAGCCGGGCGCCTGCGCCTGCCGACGTGTTCTTCCGGTGGCAGAGCGGCGGATTACCGTGTACCGGGCAAAATGGTGAGAGGGTCGGTGGGGAGTTCCCTACGGGGCTGTGAGACGGCTGGGCGCCCGACCACACTCGGTTCTCTCGCGGAGACCCGGAGGGTGGGACGTCCCGGAGCCCCCGGCCTGAGCTGGGGCGGGGAAAGGAAGCCTCGCCGTGGACTCCTTAGTGAGGTGGAGCTCTCACTGGGCTTTGGACCTCGCTGTTTGGAAGGGCGAGGGGCGTGGAGTGCATTTGGACTAGCGTGGAGCTTGTGGCTGTTATCTCTGTCTGGAAAGTTCTTCCGCCTGCCAAACTCATACTCATCCTACAATACCCTAAGCAAACGTAATTTCTTGGCGAAACACTTGGGACTCTCTCGGGCTCTTGGCCTCTGTCCCCTGGGAACGCCCACAGCCTATATACAGACCTCTTGCCACTTTTCGTGGACCTCTTTGTTATCTGCCACGCCTCTTAGTGACCACCATCTGACGTGCATCTAGCTCTGGGATGATGTCTATTCATCTTTGTATTCCTAGTGCCAAACACAAGGCCTTCAATTGGAGGCTCAATAAATGGCAGCGATTGTCTTTCTCACTTTGGGGGGGGAGGTATAGCAGAGGGGGACATAATTGTTTTACTGAATTGAATTCCAGTGTCTCTTAGAACAATGGGATCATTTTACTTCTCTAGAGTTGTTGTGTTCTGGATTTTAGAAGCATTGGCTGGTGGGGGACAATGGAAGTTAACATTTGTACTTTTACAGCCCTCTTTCACAGGCATTATCTCATAATGGACCCCGCAACCTTTGGAAGGAACTGAGCAACCCCTTATGCCAGGCATTAAACTGGATGCTTCAACATTCAGATCTTAAATTATACATCAACATGTGAAATAATTATTATAACCACGCAGACTCAGACTATTTAGGTGCTGGTAGGTCCAGAGATTCCATGATAGTGTTGTGAGAATAGTGCTGAATTAGAAGTTGAAATCTGGGTCCAAGTCTAAGTCCTGACTTACCATGGGGCTCTGTAGCTTGAAGTCAGTAGACAGGTTTTTCCCAGGTAGTCTACATACATCTCATTCCATTTTCATAGTGGTCATTGGGTAAGGACTGTTGATCTGTTCCTAATCTCCTTTTGCCTCTTGCCCTCTGACTCCTAGCTGCTCTTCATGACTCATACTGAAAAGAGAACATGCCACCTGTTTTAAGATGTAGTCATAATTGTATTTCCCATAACGAATCACTTGATACTGGCTCTGAAGGATTTCCACATTTCCAAAGTTGGAATGGGCCTCTAGGAGTCACAGCAGCACAAGGCTGTTTCATCATCTCCCCAGGGAGAAATTATGGGATTCTTTAATAACTCTGATCTCATGTCTACCCTAGGAGCTCGAGGCCATGAGCAGATACACCAGTCCAGTAAATCCAGCTGTCTTCCCCCATCTGACTGTGGTGCTTCTGGCTATTGGCATGTTCTTCACTGCTTGGTTCTTCGTGTATCCTTTGACCAAACATCCATTGGGCCAGAATAGGTGGTGTGAGAAACTGAGGGAGAAAACATCCTGGGTAACTGTATCTGCTAGTTTTGTGTATAAGGGTTGGAAATGGACAAAGGTTGGTGATGCCCAAGGGCAGATTGTGGCCTTATATTCCAAATCCTGGTGAGCTGGGGTTCTTCAGATTTCTAGGTCAGTGAGCTGAGGATCTGGCTGGAGTGGATGCTGGAGATAGGGGAGCTGAGGCTGGAAAAGTAGTGTAAGGAGGGGTGTGCTCGGGTGGCAGTAGGGGTGAGGGTTAGCCACAGCTCCACAACTCAGGAGCTGTGTGACTGCGACACGTAACCTAACCCCTGTAGGTATCATTTCCTCATGGGTAATGGAAGGGTGGTATGGAGTAACAGAGTCCAAGTCATCTCTTGGGCTCCTTTTCCTAGCTGCACCACGCCAGAAAGCCCTTAGCCCATACCTTTCTGCCCAGAGTGATGCTAGGCAATTCGCTGCACCCCACAGCCCATCACCGCTTCTCCTTAATAGCCCTGCCCAGTTACGAGGTTACCTCCACCAAGTACACTCGGGATATCTACAAAGAGCTCCTCATCTCCTTGGTGGCCTCACTCTTTATGGGCTATGGAGTCCTCTTCCTCCTTCTCTGGGTCGGCATCTACGTGTGAGCTCCCAAGGGTAAGAGCTGTGACAAGGTGGGACACTCACGTCTCTGAGGCACAACCTGGAAAAGCTTCCTACAGCCACATCAGTGGGTCCTCAGGCTCTTGCTGCAAGACCCTGTGGTTCATGGAGACAGATGTGCTAGGATGGATAGGGACCTGGACACACATGCCTCTTTCTCTGCTACTCATGGGAATTTGAGCCCAGTGTGACCTACTTTGATCTGAGTTCTCCACGATACCCTAGGCCTTGATTTGTCTTTGGGTTTTATTAGATAGAGGCATGCAAAGTCTTCCTACGGTTTTACATTTGCATTACTTTATTATATTACTATAATGACTTGGAGAGGATCTAAGACTTAAAACTTCTGCAGATAACCCACCAAACAAGTTGCTGAGAATTGGCTCTGGTGTCCCATCCTCCAAGAGGTAGAGTGCTTATCAGATCTTGATTAGGGCCATATGATGGGATTTTAGGGACAGGAGGTGGGAAGAAGTGTCATTGTCTGGTTTTGACTGCCCTTTCCTCTTTCAGGTACCCGCCAGGTGGCTTCACTAAATCCCTGCTTTTGTAAATTAATTTTTTTACTGTTGCTAGAAGTGTCCCACCTACTGCTCAAATAAAGGCAGATGTGTGACAGTCCTGTCTTGTGCCCATTCTGTAGCGGTAGGGGTGGTGCTGGGGCCTGCATGATGTCCCCAATCCTACCCTTTCCCAGCTCTCATCTGCCTTTCACATGGTTCCTGCTGTTGGGAACCTGCTTTCTACCCATGGGGGTGAAGGCTGTGTGGCAGGGGTGAATTGTCATTGAAATTAAGGCTTACTTGTGGATAGGAAGGGTCCAGGCCTACCTTCTTCTGTCATTTCTAATACAAGCCAGTTGATTCTGCCCTCTGCCCTAGGCCAATCCCTTCCTCTAAACATAGCCCCCCTTCTCTGGGCTGGAATGCTTTTGCCAGGCTCTGCTTGTTCCTGGAGACTTCCCTAACTGGCCAGAAAGACAGTAGCTGGAGATACTGCCAGGGGAGAGGCCACTGAGTCATATCTCAGCCCTAGGGCAAAGCCAGTGATGAGTACAAAACATTCATCTGGCCATCAGGCGTGGAGGCCCAAAGATTCCAGGCTTCTCAGGAAGAACTTTGAGTTCAACTGGTCTTAAACCCCCACGAAAACCTTTCCTACCACAACGACCCCAAGAAGAGACAGGAGGCAAGCTCAGATACAAAGCAGTATTTATACATTTATTTATATATGTATATTTGGAAGAAAGGACAGTTTGGAGGACAAGAAGCAAGCAGGCCTAGGGTGGCTTCCCTCTGCCTACCTCAGTCAGTGGGTATATGATAAATATAAGTCAGAGCCCAGGGATAAGACTCGGAGTTAACTGGGGAGGGGACGCTCTATGCACATGCAGACTGCTAAGGGGCAATAGTGTGGGCAGGGGTTCTGCACTGGGAGGCCATATGTACAGCTTGAAGCTAGAGGGGAATAGCCCAGTGGCTACAGGAACAAATACCAGAGAGGAGAGAGGAAGGGAGAGATGGCCTGCTGGAGCCTGGGGAGGGCCAGCCAGCCTCTGGCAGGTGGCCCACTCACCTTCCTTGGAGCCCTTTTATACCTTGGGCTTAAGGTAGCTTTGGTCCAAGGTTGACCCCCTCAAGCAGCTTGGAGCCCAAGCCCCCACCCTGGCACTGAGGACTCCTTCCAGGCATGGAAACAGGGCCAGCTGCCAGTGGGACTGGGGGCTATGCTATGTCCATATAGACTCCAGGGGGCAGTGGAGGGTCACTTTCCAGTTAAGGACTGGTGCTGCAGTCCAAGAACGATCCCCCCCACCCCAAGAAGCCCCAGAATCCTATCACCAAGGAGTGGGCTTGGCAGTTTTAAGGCACTGTAAGGAGGTGTCCCCTGTGGGAAGAAGAACCCAGTAGAACTAAGCAGGGCTTGACCCCTGGCATGGCATGGGGAGTCATATAGCTCCTATGTTGGAATCAGGGAGTAGAGCCAAACTGGGGAGGGAGTTGGAGGCAAGGTGTCCTGCAATCCCTGAGTCCCCTAGTGCTTCCCTACCCCGTGGATAAGTGCTTTAGATCCATGGCGGAAGGGGGTCTGCAGTTAATTGGCTTCTAGAACTCAGTTCCCCAACAGAAAGGCCTCCTGTTCAGAGCTGAGAGGTAGGATAGGGGTAAGGCCTGGTTTCCAAAGAAGTGATGGGATTGCACAGGGCAAGGACGGCAGTTCCCTTTCCTGTTTCTGGACAATGGTAGACATGGCCAAATGACTGCCACATTCCTTTCATGAGCCTGCATGTGGCCCCAGAATGCTGCAGACACCATGAAGAGAAGTTAACATCTTCCTTAACCCAAACCCACTGTATCACTCCTGGGAGAGGAAGCCAGAGATGGGGTTTGCTGAGCATGGATACCTCCATCTTGACCAAGCACAGCAAGGGCGCCTTTAATATGGGGAGAGAAAGCTACCCACAAACTGGGGAGAAGCCAAAATTTGGTGGTTGGAAGTGGGGTGGGTGTCTCTGAGCCTCCTGGGAAGGATCAGAATCAGGACCCTTCTTTCTTTGCAAGTGTCACTCCAGGGCTCTGGCCCACTCTGAACTTTCTAGCTCCGTCCTTCCAATCCTTCCTGGCCTGGCTTAAGTGCATTTAGTAATTATTTCATTAATAACAGCCAAAGTTATTTGCATCTGCCCACCAGCCCAATGCTTGCAAGGATTCCTGCTCCTCTGCTGGGGGTGGGGGGCGAGGGGAAGGATGGAGTCGCTGACACCACGGTGTAAGTTCCCGGGATCACAGGGTGTGGGGGTTCACAGGGAACCTCCCCTTCCAGATACTCCAGGTTTATCTGGCCTGCTGGCCCCCAGTGGTTTAGACTGTGGAGGGCTGAGGGTGACTTCCTCAGGCACTCAGTAGATTTAAGGCACAAAATCAAGTCTCTCCAGCCCATCCAGGGCTGGCCTCAGCTGCCCGGGAAGTTCTCAGGAGCCAAGCTCTCCCAGGAAGAAATACCTCCTGGGCTACACTTAAAGCTTAGAAGTCCAAGTCCAGTGTAACAGTCATACCCCAAAAAGTCCACTACAAAGCCATCCCCCAGGGAGCAGCATCAAGGGGGAGATCCGTCTGTCCTATTGACTCCTGGGGTCCAGTCAGATCTTGAAGGGCTGGATCCAAGCCCCTGGCAGCTGTCTCCAAGAGCAGCAACTCCCTGTCTCAAAAGGGAGGGGCAGGGGAGAGTGGGCTCTGGGCAAGGCAGGGCCCCTGAAGCCAGCCTCTATATCTGAACCACATCTGGACAAATGTGGATCCTGCCACCAGGAGGTGGTAGGCAGGAACGCCCAGGAAGTCTTGTCCCCGGCTCCCTCCATGCCACCTGAGGGTGACCAGTAGGAACAGCAGATCCAGTGCGAAGACTTCCAGTTTCCCCAGGCTCAGGGAGGCCAGTGAATTGGCAGAGAGCTGGGAGGCAGCAGGCTCCAATGGTGGAACACCATTCGTTGCACCCAGTGTGGAAGGGGTCTAAGGACCCCAAATCCCTGGTGTGGCACTGCCCCAGGAGGCAGCTCAGTCACACAGGCGGTAGAAGTGGAAGTAGTAGTCTGTGGCTGGCTGGCTAAGGACCTCCGAGCTGCAGCTGGCCTGACCCTGGGCAGAAAGGCAATGGGAATAGGTGAGATGACCTTGGAGTGCAGGGCAGGCAGCACTCTCCCTGCCAACATGCTTGACACTGTGCCCAAGTCCTACCACATGCTCTGCAAAGCTCCCGTACTCCCTAAGCCCCACGCTTCATAGAGGTGTCTGGACCTCAAGGGGCAGGCGAGTGCCCATGCTCACCAGCAGTGCCACCCGGAAATGGTAGGTGAATTCACGGAAGGACAGTATGGTTATGGGCCACTGGTGAGAGGTGCCCTGGAGAAAAAGGAGAGGGATCAGGGGATGCCATCCCAACTGGCATCTCTGCACTGTAGCCATGGCAGCCCCAGGATCTGGGCCAAGTTCTATGAAGGAGAAAAGTGGAGAGCTTCAAAGAGGTATGGGAGGGAACAGTCCTGCCTTGGGGAACAGTCGCTGCTACCTTCCACAGACTGCGCCAGGTGTCTCCCTGACCCCTGCTCCCCTACTGTGCTCACTGCGTCCTCCTGGCCATCATGCAGGGCTGCTGCTATCTCAGCTCACAGATGAGGAAACTGGGTCACCTGCCTACAAGTAGCACAGTGTTGCAGAGCTGGGGTTCAAGTCCACGTCTGTCTGGCTGACTCTCCTAAGGTGGCATGTGATCAGCCACACGCAGCTTGCCCATCTCCCACCTGAGGCTTTGGCCTGGTCTCTGTGGTGTAGGTTGGGACCTAAGCCCATGTCTAAAGAGTGTCTACCTAGGTGTTCTCTTTGAGGTGTTCTTGCCTCTCTGGGGCCTTCATCCACCCCTTCCTCTACTCAGGGTCCTTTCTGCATGTCCTTTCTCTCACTAGATTACATTCTTGGAAGTGGAAGCCCATCTCCTCCCCTCACTCTCACAGCTGGGGGCACAGGGCCTGAGACATAGGAGGCCCAAACAAGTATTTGCTGAGTAAACACATGAGTAGGCAAGAACTCTCCTAAATCTCTTCCCATGGCCTTGGGTCAAGGATAAAGTTCCACCAGCTACAGGTTATGTAGAGCTGAGCAGGTTGTACCGGAGTCCTCAGAGCTGGAAGGTGACAGGGCCCAGCCATTCAGTTCCCAGACCAGGAAGTAGCCCTGCACCTGGAACAGTGGGCTCTTCTAACACTGCAGGTCTGCCTGCCACTGCCCCACACTGCTCCTTCCCGCCTCTGCAGGCTCTACTCTGCCTCCCCAGAGACCCTCAGCCCTCCCTGCCATGGGCTCCCAGGACATTAGTGATGGCTCCTGTCTCCATCATTGCATTCATCCCAGGTTAGTCCTTGTGGAACTGTTTTTGTCCCCAGGACTATTGCCACCACAGGAATGGAGCTGCTCAGCAGGGAGTGGATTGAACAAAGACCTGCATGCATGTCCCCCTTCCTGGGGCAGAGGCCCAGGCCCTGAGGTGTCCCTATGTAGACACCTGCACTTTGACTCCAGCTTCTTCTCCTCAAGTGTTTGGGGTCCACTGTCCAGAGAACAGGGTACAGCTGGCCCACAGCTTCCCAGCTGCCACCTACCTGGGTGTCCTGATGGGTAGGGAGAATCTGCGGGAGTGACCCCTCCTCACACGGCTTTTCCTTTGTCGTCAGGCTGCACAGCACCACCGACACAGGGGAAGAGGAGCTGGGGAAAGACCCAGTTAGCAGGGAATGGGGTTCCTGAGTCCCCAACTCCAGCACCCTGCCAATCAGCCCTCCAGCCCAGAACACGCACTGAACCTCGTGGCCTGGAAACCACACAGCCTTAGTGCTGGTACAGACCTTTCCCACCCACCAGCCGCTGAACCACAAAGCCTCCCTCCACCACGTTTCCTAGGACTACCACCTGGAAAATGTTATGGATGCTGGAGCTGGCCTTGGCTTTGGCCACTCTGAGGTTCTACTGGTTTCCTCTGGCTCCCCTCCCATCCCTCTGCTCCCTTCTCCAGTACTCACTTCATCTGCAGGGTCAGGCTGAGGTGGAGTGGGGTACTGCTACTGACAGGAATGTGGTAGGTGAAGTTTCCAGGCCTGAAGGGGCAAAGATGGCACCTCAGCCCATGACCATCCTGCCAAAGCCTCTGCCCTCAAACCCCAGACTACCCCAGAACCCTTCAGAGCCTGGAAAGGGGCTTCCCTGTCTTGTAGGGAGGTTCCTCCCTGAGGGCACAAGAGCTGAGCATCTATACTGCCTGGGGTCACCTAAGGGCCCCCTGGAGTGAAGGGAGGAGACCACCCACCTGCAGGCACCCTGTGGAGCGCAGTACTGGGAGGTGATGGACATCGAGTTCTCCAGCACCTGGATGGAGGTCAGGGAGGGCACTGGGTCTGCAAGGAGAGGGGCTGCTGGGGCAGGGAGGAAGGTGAGGCGGGATACAAAGCAATCAGGTCTTTCCTTCCCCAACAGTCACCACACCTCAGTCCTTTCCAGACCCCACAATGGCCAGGATTATACCACACCTCTTTCCCAGCAGCCCTGGGACCAGTTAGTTCCCAGAGTTCTGAAATCTGCCTTCTCCAAAGAACCAGAACACCCAGAATCAGGGATGGGTCTTGTTCCTGGCATGTTCCTGGCCAGCTGTGTGCAGAAGCCTGTTCACACATCGCTTCCCACTCTGTTCAGTGGCGTCCACTGGGAGCCTGACATCAACCACGGAGGGCGCACTACAGGCGAATCAGGCTTCCCCTACTCCTGCCCCTGTCCCCTGCCCCAGAGAAATCTACCAACATGCCACCACTTGTGGCCCTCCACAGCAAACCCACAGACTGGCTAGCCATGAGAGGGTTGGAACTAAAGTGTGACAGAAAGGTGGGCAGCCAAGGCCCTCTTATTCATCTTGTTCACACCTGGGCTCATTGCTGCCTGACCCTTCCACCCAACAAGAGGGAAGATGGGGCCACTGGCCTCTGGACATTTGCTGGACCCCGTTCATTTTCAGTTCTTTGAGGCACAACCCAAGGACCCAGAATGCTGTGTGGAGCCAAAGAAACTGTTTGAAAACCTCTGCAATAAAAAATTCTCTGGCTTTGTTAAAAATTAAGGCTTGAGTTTGGAGGAAAGTTGGGTAGACTCCACACAGCACCTTTCTCATCTTTGCATGGTGACAAAGTAGCCAGACTTAAGTTTGGCCAACCAGGAAGCGAATTCTAGGTGGAGCCACTGATCACTGTATGACCCTGGGCAAGTCCTTTTACCTAAGTCTCTATTTCCTCACCTAGACAGTGGGGACAGTTTCTCTCTTGCAGGAGTGTTGTGAGTACTTAAGGCTCCTGACCTGATCCCTGACACTTAGCACATGCTCAGAAAATGCTGTTGATGATAATTCTGCACCCGTGCATCATGTGACAGGGCTGAAATGGGCCCTGGCCAGTAAGTCTTGCCAGGCCGGGCTGGGAAGTGTCAGGGGTGAGACAAGTACCTGGCTGGCTGTGAGTGGGCTGAGCAGGGCCCAGGCTGGTCTGGGGGGCTCCTCTGCGGGCCCGGCCATGGAGTCCAAGACTGGGGCTGTTCTTGGCCTTACTCTGCCCCCCAGGGAAGGGAACTGCAGGGCTGGCCACAGGTTCCATGCCCTTGGAATGTTTGGGGTGGCCAATGCCATTGGCTGAAATACTCCAAGACTTGGCTCTGATGTTGGTGACTGGCAGCTGGGCCATCTGGCTGGGGTCTGTGGATAGAACCAAGGATAGGCTGAGAGGAGGGGAGCTGGCTATCTCCTGTCCAGCTGTCTCTAGGGCCTCGAGGGAACCCCATGTGTCTCTTGGTATCCTTAGGGGAACTCCCCAGTCTTTTCTTCAACCCTCATTCTGGGTGACCTGAGACCCTCCCACCTATTAGTCTTTGGGGCCTTTCTCTGGATTCAGGGAAGCTGGACACCCCCACAACCCCCCCACCACCCCTGGGTTAGCTGTACCTGAGTGGTTAATGCTGGGACTGGGGCTAGGTCTGGGGGTGGGACTATGGCCAGGGTTAAAACTGGAGTCAAGACTAGGGTCTGAGGCAGGGCTGGAGGCGGGTGAAGAGCAGCAGACGACAGGGCAGGGGTGGCTGGAGCACAGGTCCAACGTGCGGATAGCTGGATCTGGGGCCGAGCTGATCAGGCTGGTCGTAACTGAGGAAGACAGCGGTGGTGTGAGCTGGAGGAGGGCAGCAGAGCCCCACCCAGAACACAGCCACCTGCCCCTTCCCACCCCTCCACACCTGCCTGATACGCACCCAGCAGCAAAGAGGGCTGTGTGCCTGGCAACCCAGTGGTCACAGGGGACTGTCGGAGCTGAGTGGTTCCAAAACTCTGGCTGGACCTGCTGGGGAAGGGTGGGCTGAGCTCAGAGCGGCTGGAGGAGACTGGGAGTCCCCGAGAAGCAGGAAGGCTGGGAGGAGGCGGAGAGGGAAGTTGGAAAGGAGGCAGGAAAGGGGCAACAGGAGCCAGAGGAGGGAGGGCACTTGGTCAGACACGTACCATGGGCACATGGCCTCACTCCCCCCAGGGTGCTGGGGCCGGAGCAAGGCCAGGAGACAGGAAGTAGACACGGCAAAAGAGCTAGGGGGCAACACAGAGATCAAGAGGGAGACAGGTGCAGGGGAGGAGAGAAAGAAAAGACACAGTCAGAGGTAGACCCGGGGCTGAGGGTGACAGAGGGCAGACAGAGTCCAATGTCCTGCCCTGGCCCTCCTGCATCCCCTGTTCCAACCAGGGCCCCTCAGCTGGCCGACCTGGGGGAGCACTGAATTGGCCAGAGAGAAACCTTGGTGTCAGCAGGGACAGGGATCTGTTGCCCACCATCCAGGGAGACCCTCCCTTCCGCCCCAGCTACCCCTAGCAGGCTCAGAGCCTAAGATTGAACCCCTTTAGAGACAGCTTCCATGGATCCTCTGACCCTGGGCTGTCCGCCAAAGCCCCACCTGGCATGGGGTCTTAACAGCAGCCTGACCTCCAGGGACATACCCATCAGTATCCACCAGGTCTTCCTCGGTGCGCAGGCTCAGCACATACAGTGTGGACATGGACACCACGCTGGGAGCCACGGAAAAGGGTCACCGTTAGAGCTGGAGGCACATTAGCACCCTCTCTTTATGGTATTACCTATGATTCTTGGCCCCAGGGACCGGGCTCCCAAGTGATGCCCAAATGGATCTCCCTAACCCTGGAAAGAGGAGACAGAGGAAGCAGCCCACCTGCCCGCAAAGCCTCAGCCACTAGATCTTCCAAGCCACATCTCCCTCTCCTCTCCTTGGGCCTGGGCTAGTGGTCAGCTGACCCCACTGAGCAGCTCTCAGTCAGCCACCCCCACAGCCTGGGCAACAAGTCACCTGAAGGCCATGACCACCACCAGGGCAATGATAGTTCCCTGCAGGAAGCGCTGGCTGATGCAGGCCTGGTCTGGCACCACTGATGACGACTGAGAACCAGGAGGAAAAGGGGAAGCAGCAGAAGAGGGCAGACTTAGGAAGCCTGCAGCCTTACCCTATCCAGGGGTCACCCTTTCCCCCAGGGGCAGAGGGAGCAGAAGAAGAAACGGCTTGGGAGGCTAAGAATTGGGGTGGGGGAGAACCAGGAGTCAGGCTGCAGAGGGGAAGCCGGAAAGGGAGGCCACAGGATGGAAAAGTCCCCGCCCGACCTCTCTGCCACCCAGCACCCACCCTCACCTTGCTGGCCACCTTGGGGGGCCTCTTCTTGTGAGGAACGCTGCCTGCCCGGCTAAACTGGCTCCCTGTGTGGCTGCAGTAAGAGGGCCACGGTCAAAGGTGCCTCTTGGAAGGGGGCCTTGCCCTCCCTGCCCCATGCCATGCCCCCACCTGAAGGCCCCCGAGCTGCCAGTGGACTTGAGGCTGTCGAGGCGCCGCAGTTTGGCCAGCTTGTGGCTCCAGCGCTCCAGCTCGTCGATGCGCGTCTCCAGGTTGTCCGTCAGCTTGCAGAGCTCCTTCACGGCCCCCACGTTCTCCATGAAGATGCGCTCCTGCCAGGGCCAAGGGCCAACCTTGAGGGCACAGTCAGCCCCGGGGCCCAGGCTGCAGACCACTGAGGAGCAGAGCAGAGCCCCACTCTGCACTGCCACCTGGAAGCCCCTGAAGCCTCCTACCTGGTGTGGGCCTCCCTTCCCCTGTGCTGGCTCCACACTGCATCCCTGCTGCACCTTGCCTGAACGGCCCTCCTTGCTGTCGGAATCAGAGCTCTAGCCTTCAGAGGCACCCCACAGCTTGGGTCTGCCCCTGATGACCAGGTATCTCAGACTTGGGCACTTTCCTACTCAGATGAGCCTCCTCAGTGCCCAGCCTCATGTCACGTTAAGTTAGAAATGTCACATAATAATGAACACATTCAGGCCTCGATAGCCATGACAGTGGCTCACAACCCATGTTTAACAAGGGAGGAGATGGCTCTCAGCAAGGTTCTCCTGTCCCAGACCTCATGGCCTCTCCTAGCCAAGTCCACCTGGAGAGCTGGCACCCTTCCCTGTGAGGTAGGATGGGGCTCTGGAGGCAGCATGAGACTGGGCTGTGTCTGCCCTCTGCCCCCAGTTGGCCTGCCCCTCTCCAGAGCCCTTCAGGTCCCACCTTACTGACCTTGTTCACCACCAGGAAGTTCTCTATGGTTTTCCCATTGGCAAAGACCACATCTCCCGTGTCCTTCACAGCCTCGGGCAGGATCTCCTTCACCTCCTGAGCGATGACACCTGGGGAGAGACAAGCCAAGAGGATGGGCTGACTGCCTGCAACTCTTCAACTTAGAGGCGGGTGGGAGTAATTTTGGTTTTGTTTGGATACTGAGGATTGAACCAGGGGTGCTTTACCACAGTGCTACACCCCCAGTCCTTTTTATTTTTTGAGACAGGGATCTAAGTTGATGAGGTTGGCCTGGAACTTGCAATCCTACTGCCTCATCTCCTGAGCCGCAGGGATTACAGGCATGGGTCACAACGCCTGGCAAAAGGTGGATTTTGGAAAGAGGGACCAGAGATTTGGGTTCCAAGGAGCCCTGGGCAGTGTCTGCCTCCTACAAAGGTTCACAGGGTCGCAGCTCCAGGGCTCAAGACGTGGCGTTCCAGAGGTGGGGTGGTTCCTGGAAGTAAGGACCTCAGGGGAAGGGGCAGGATTCCAAGAGGATGAAGGCAGGAATTTATGAGGGGGGGGCCCTGGGCCGAGATTTTCGGACTTTGTTAAGGGGTGAAGTTCCAGAACGCCAGGTGGCGCGATTTTCCAGGGATTAAGGGGAGGGGCTTCTAAGGACAAGCTTCCTGGGGCGGAGTTCCAGGGGTCAAGGAAGGATTTCTGAAAGCAGAATTTCCAGGGAAGAGGGACAGAGAGTCGGAGCCGAAGGCAGGGGCCGGGGCTGCTGAAGGCTGAGGGGTGATCCCAAAACCCAGTCTGTGTGTGGGGGGGGGCGGGGTCCCTACCCGTCTCTGGCGTGGTGGCCTCGATGCCCGCGCTGGCCGCGAACTCGGGCTTGTATCTGTAGTGCACCAGCCGCATGCGCGAGATCCTCTTCAGCTGCTCGGTGGTGTCCACCTGCCAGGGGACCCCGGGCTAAGACTGAACCCTCGGCCCCTGCGACTGGCCAGAGCAGGCCCGGGAGCTAAGAAGGACTGAGCATGCAGTGTGGAGAAGCGACCCCGCTACCCGGCTCACAGATGGAGACCCAGGGACAGCCCCGCCCTTCCACCTGGCCCAGCTTCCTCCCTGGAAGCCCCGCCCCAAGGCCCCGCCCCCACCTCCTGCACGTGCTCCTTGGCCCGCAAGTCCGAGGGGTGCATGAGCGAGCCCATGACCTTGACGTTGCCATGCACAACCAGAGCCTCGTCAGGCCTGTCGGTGTTGATGCCCACACGACCATGGTGGAAGACAGTATCGGGCACCTGCGCCCGCTGCCACAGCACATCACTGTCGCTCTCAAACTGACCTGGGTTGGAGGCCTAGGGCAAGTTGGGGCTGAATCAGTCCTGGAGGATGGGGGACCTGCCTGACCATGGGAAAGGGGAAACACCACAGCAACCCCTCCTAGTCCAGCCAGGGCTCTCATCCCACCATGCCCAACTGTCCTGCTCAGTGTGACAACTTTTAGTCATATGTGGTATGCCAGAGGCTACCAGGTTACCAGGCTCCATGCTTTACTATGAAGGAAATAACTTGCTGGGAAAGGGTGAGCGTTGTGCCCGGGGAACACAGCCAATACCCAGCAAAATCCACACACCATTCCTAACTCCTCAGTACCGGGCATCTCTTCCTGGTGCCCTTTCTTCCAGCTCTGGGGAGGACTCTTTACCCCTGAAGGGAGGTGGCCCTTACCCTCACGATGATGCGCTCTGAGATCTGGGCAGCCAGCGTGTAGTTCTGGTTCTGTGCATGAGCCTGAAGGGCCACCACCAGCATGAAGTACCTGGGACACACAGGAGGCTCAGAGGTGCTTAGGTTCCTGCCCATCTGTCCCTGGCCACCCCTTCTGGGCCTTGTGTGCAGTGTACATAGCTCCCAGGTCTCAACCCACCCTCAAAAAGTGGCATTAAAGGGGCTGGGGCTGGGGCTCAGCGGTAGAGCACTCGCTTAGCACCTGTGAGGCCCTGGGTTCAATCCTCAGCACCACATATAAATAAATAAAGTAAACATATTGTATCCAACTACAACTAAAAAAGTAAATTAACAAAAAGTGGCATTAACAGTACATTACAAAGGAACCTGAGCCTCCACTAGGGGGCAGAAGTCCCCAGGACCCACAGTGGGGAAGCAGAGGACTGCTTCTGAATCCAGAAGCCAGGCTTCTGCCCCTCTGATGATCTTAACTCAGTGAAGGGCTCTGAACCTCAAGCCCCTAATCTATGAGATGGCCAGTCTGTGACCTCGGCCACTGGCAGGCCCCATGGGTGGTGTCTTCCTGACCCTGCTGCTCAGAGCAGAGCAGCTCCTGGGGCAGGGGCCCAACCTGCTCACCTCTGGTCAGGGTTGGGCTTGCCTTTCTTGCGCATGTTGTTGGCAGTGGTCTCACTGAAGTGCAGCCGTCCCACAGTCACCTTTGTGACCTGCTCAGGAGGCAGATTGACCCTGCAGAAGAGGGGCAGGGTGCTCAGGGGGGAGGGAGGGAGGCTGTCAAGAACCAGGCCACAGAGGGATACACAGGCCAGGAGCATTCGGGAGGTGGACACTCTACCTGGCCCCCTCAGTTCCCAAGCCAGCTCCAGGGGAGGCCCTTCCAGCACCCGCCACCCCTACCAGACACTCACGTGACAGGGTTGAAGGGCCGCTTGCTTCGGTCTGACTGAGACTGTTCAATGTTGATAGACTGGTTCAGGGCCTCCAACTGGGTAGGATAGAGAGCAGCAGAGGCTCAGAGTGGGTCTCCCCACCTGCTCCTGCCCTCCTTCATCCTCTCAGCCTGGGCCTGGCCCAGCAAGAACCGGGGGGTGAGGGAACGGAGCAGAGCTCGACCCTCAGCCTCCCTACCCCACAAACTCAGGGGCCGTCTATACAGCAGCACCTGACACACCACACCACCCCACAGCAAGTGCGCATGTAGCCACCACGCTCCACCATGCCCCACTGCTGCATGATGGAGCACACATGGTCACCGTGCATCCTCCCCTTACGCTCACAGCCCCTCCCACACACCCACACCTACATGCTCCCCACCTCCACCCCTCCATGAACACTGGCTGAGCCACTCATGACACTGAGGCAGACAGAGCTGGGGGACCTCCCAGGGACCTCTCTGGCTCCAGATCAACCACAGAATGGCTGTCCCATAGGGCCCCTAAGGGCAGGCTTCCTGAGCATGAACCAGTGTGGAGTCTGCCAGGAGGAGGAGGAGGATGGGTTGGGAGCCGCCTAGGGGAAGGCAGGGGCTGGGAGGGAGGGAGAGAGGGAAGGGCTGGCTCCGAGGAGCTGGTGGGCTCACTGGGAAGCTGTGGCTGTGCTGGGAGAACACTGGGGTTTTGGAAGAGTGGGGCATGCCATTACCACCTGTGTCACAAGTCAGGGCCACTCGGGCAAGGAGCAGGGATGACGGGGACAGGGAAGAGGCCAACGGAAGGAGGGGAGGAAGGGGGCCTAGGCGAAAGGGTGCTCCAGGAGAACTGCAGGGCCAGGTGCAAGATGAGGTCAGTGCGACAGGGCCCCCACGTCTATGGCTTGGGTGACCAGGACCCTGGACTCCATTCCCTGAAGGGGAACTCTGGGTGGAAGCAAGGTCGCAGGGACGCAGAGCTGAGGTGGCTACAGAGGGGCCAGGAGGTGGGTCTTGGTTGAGGATGCAGACTTGAGGTCACGGAGTGGAGAAGGATGAAAGAGCATGAGATGGTCACGGGCAGCCCCCGGGAGAAGAGGTGGAGGCCCCGGCTGCGGGGCGGGCTTGGTCACGGAGTTCCTCCACAACGCTCTGGCCCTCCTGCCCGCCCTCCTGGCTGAACCCCAAACCTGCCTTCACTCCATGCAGCTTCAGGTAGAAGCAGTCAAGGGGCTTGAGGCCCTCGGGCGTCTTGACGTACTTGGGCTCCCCCAGCATGCCGATGTACACCGTCACCTGGAAGTGGTTCTTCTTCTGGCACACGAAGGCGTCGTCCCCCACCGAAAAGTTGAAGCCCTTGTCAGCGTCCACACGGTAGGTGAGCATAGGCCTGGGGGACAGGTGAAAGCCAGGCCTGGAATGTCACTCCCTCCCCTACACACCTTGTTCCAAAGCAATTTCCTGTTCTCTACCTCAAGATCCTCAAACCACCAATGGTGCTGTCCCCACTTCCCAGAAAAGAAAACTGAGTCCCCAGGAGGATTCACGTGCAGATGTCAACTCCTCGGCAGATGATCTTTCCTCGACATGCCTGGTGATGAGGGTGCAGGGCAAGTCCCTGAGGCCCACCAAGCAGGAAGGAACTCCTGAGGAGGGGGCTTGATGGCCCTCACCACATGTGGCTGGTTCCCAGAAGGCTGCCGAAGCCCCCTCCCTCATGGGAATGGGGTGAGAGGGGCTGCATCTGCAGAGCCTCAAGGCAAGTGACAGCTGGTTGCCATGGAAACCGTGGAACCAGGCGCCAGCTCTGCTGCAGGCAGGTCCAGCCCCTGCCCCCCCCCCACGTGTTCAAGTCCCCACACACCCTCGTTCTGATTCCTGGGTCTGCCAGAGCAGGGAGGGGCACTTCTGGATGCCCCCTCAGACTCAGCGGGAGTTTGCCCTTCTTTTGCTGGAGATAGTAGCAATCTGGTCCCTTTGGGGACCTCCAGGTGGCAGTAAAGAAGGCAAGTGTTATCCTATGGCTTTGCCACCGTCACCCAGGTCACAGGAGTGCCTGGTGCCTGCCTGGAGGAAGGTGGGTGGGGACAATGCTTCCAGACTCATGGGAAGAGGCCTCTGGGCCTGGCCTAGGCCTACAGGAAGGCCTGGGCTCCCGGCCTCTCCTCCTGGGGCTCCACCCACCTGCTCAACCCAGCAAAGTGTGGAGATAGTGCCTGGGCTACACGGCACCTCTGCTGCCAGCTTCCTAACCTAGGGTCCTGGGATGACAGGTTGGCCCAACGTGTATCAAGTGCACCTTGTAAGAGTAGAGGGCTTCCTCCCCAGGCCAGACTGCGCTCCCATAGACACCCCCTCCCACACCAGCCGACCTCATGGGACGCTTGAGCTGCCATAGCAGCTGGACCACTCCCTAGCCCTGGGGTCTGCTGGCTAAGAATCCCACACAGCCTGGGGCGCCCAACCCCAAGAGACTGGTCAGCGCCCCAGCCACCCCGCCAGGCCTGGAAGTGTCCAAAGTGGGTTGAGGGGAGTTGCCCTCTCACCTACACACCAGCCTTTGCTGGGGACAAGGGGAGTGCTCCCCACAGGGCTCCTGGCCTAGAGCCCAGGAAGCTGAATCCACATGACCAGACAGACCCTGACCCGGTCCTGCCCAACCCCCTCCACAGGGAGGGGGCTCTGGAAGGGCCCTGCTTACACTCAGCTTCCGGCTACCTTCCTGGAATGCAGGCGGAGGAGGAGTAGGTGGAGGGGGAGGCGGAGTCTGGAAACACCCACCGCCCACTTCCTCCAGACTGGCCGCCCTGGCACACACCACCTCCTGGGGAGGCCTGGGGCTGGCCTGGCTCTTTCTTGAGCCCGTTTGCTCTTCTGTAAAATGGGATCATCCTGTACCCTGGGTGCTCCCAGGCCCTGATCTAGGACCTCGATGAGATCCAGAGCTGTCCTAAGATGGGGTGGCCGGGCGACACTGATCACTCACAGCTCCTTGTAGTTGGCATCGTACAGTGTGGCCCACTTGTTCTGCTGATGGGGCTGCCACTTGATGGACTGGTAGTTGGGGTCCAGGTAGGAGCCACTGAGACTATCATTGTCCTGCAGGAGACCTGAAGGAAGGGGACACCCACGTGGGCCCTGGTCTCCAGGCCCCACTCCCAACTCCAAGGGAGGGCCAGCCACGTACCTGGTGAGGGTGCACCTGGAGGGTGCCACGGCGGTGTCTGGACCCGGGCAATGCTGAGCGGCAAGGAGCCGGGGCCCGGTGAGAGTGGGCCCTGGGGAGGCCAGGGTGGGGAAGGGGCTCGCGCAGGGTGTGGGGGCAGCGCTGTCACGGTCCCAGGCTCCTGTTTGATCATCCCATTCAGCATCTGGGCATTGAGGGTGTTGGGGGGCGAATCTGAGTGCTTCCTCTTCTTGGAGGGGTGTGTGGGGAGCCTGGGGAGGCAGAGGTGTGCGCCGTGGGGGCTGGCTCTCTCTGAGCCCCCTGCCTTTGTGCAGTGCCCACTCCTCTCCCCTCTCCCTGCTGTCTTAACAGGCTGGGCACAGCCCAGAGGACACTCCCTCCGGGAAGCCCTGGGACGTGGCCTCCTCAGCACTCCCACCACTGGTCAGCGTTGTCATTCTCTCTCTGTCCCTCTTCCCCACGGGCTAGACCGTGGCATCCAGGAGGACAGGAGGCACACCTGACTGGTCTGTGTGTCTCCAGCAGGCCCAGCAAAGGCCCGGCACACATCAGGTGACAGATTTCTTATAGCATCACTCCTTCTAGTGGGGGCTCTGCAAGCAGCCTCCAGAGTCAGACCACACAGGGCCTGGACCACAAGGCCAGGTGGGGAGTTTCCCGAGGCAGGGGACAGGCGCAGGTTTGGGTGACCTGCACAGCACTCCTTTCCCCATCTGGTTAGAATTTTTTTTTTTTCTTGGTAGGAATTGAACTCAGGGGTGCTTAACCACTGAGCCACATCCCCAGCCCTTATTTTATTTAATTTGGAGACAAGGTCTCATTAAAGTGCTTAGGGCCTTGCTAAATTGCTGAGGCTGGCCCTTGAACTTGCAATCTCCTGCCTTAGCCTTCCAAGCCGCTGGGATTACAGGTGCCACCACGCCCAGCTACAAAATGTTTTGAAGAAGACTCTTTCCTTGAACTTTATAAATCTTTGATGAAATTTCAATGCGCAACACAGATATAAAGTCATGGAAGATAAAAACAGATAAAAATGACGAGTGCCCAGGTTGGAGTCAGAGCAGGGTGCTTAGGTCCAGGCCAGGAACCTCCTTAGGTTGGGGAGGACTCCATGATCGGCTGGAAACCACCTGTGCCTGGGTAAGAGTATCGCCACAGGCTCAATTCCTGGCTCTGCCCTCTCCTGGAGGCACGATCTGGAGGAGCCACTTTCCCTCCTCAGAACCTCAGTTTACCTCAGTGGAAATGTCAGTCCTGAGCAAGTAGCCGCTGTAAATCCCCCAGGGCATTACTGGGCACTTAGGTATAAATAGGTTGCCCCCCCATCTTCCCTGCAGAGCCCCTGCCCCCTACAGCGTGTCCCCACCCCCTCCCCCTCTGGCGGCCTGCACCTGCTCTGCCCCTCACTCTCCGCGGGGGCTCCCAGCCTTACTCAGCTCCGTGCTGCTGCAGCAAGTGCTGCAGCATCTGGGACTGCTGGGTGTGGTGGAGATCCGCAGGCACCAGACCCGGCCCCATGGCAGCATACGGCGGGATTGGGGGCTCGGCCTTCATGTACAGGTCCCGCTGCAGGACAGGGTAGTGAGGTGGGGGCGGCGGGGGCGGCGGGGGGCCTGGCAGGTGGGCTGGAGGTGGGGGCGGGTGCTCCAGGCGGGAGGGCACCCCCACGTGGCACAGGGTCTCAGGGGTTATTGTGCGTAGGAGATGGGGGTCTGTGGGAGAGATGGGGGTTGGGCATCAGAGACCACCCTCACTCTGGTTCCAGACACCGATCTCCCTAGGCAGGGTCTCCAGCTTCCACCCCCTCCTGAGCCAAGTCCCCAAGCCCAGGGGCCGGGGAGTCAGCTGGTCACTAGAGCCTGGGCAGGGAAGCAAGACCCTGTGCAGGAGGACCGTGGCCTTTGCCCTGTCCTTGCCGGTTCTTTTAAGATGAGGCAGGCCCAGCTCCCCAAGAAGATCCCCATCTCAAGGTTCCTCCAGGCCCCCAGCTCCTCTCAGGCCTGACCCTCCTTTGGCCTCAGGAAGGGGAGTCTGGAGACCCCCAGCCCCTTCTCGGCTGCAGGCGGGCCCTCCTCCCTGCAGCAGCCCCTCTCCTGGGCTCCAGGGGCCAGCCCCCCACTGGCCGGAGGGGGAGGCCGGCTCCCATTGTTCCCCAGGAGGCATTCCAGGGATGTTTTGGGTAAGATAAACAGAACTCTTGACCCCTCTTCAGGCTGCGGGGAGCCAGCTGCCCGTGGTCATTCTGTTCTTGACCACCTGGGGGCCACTGCACCCCTAAGCACCCCCGTAAGGGGAGGTGGGCCCAGCGGTGGTAGGCCTCTGCTCAGACTGCACCTGGGCCTTCCCAGCCGTCCACTTACCGCCGAAGGGCGCGTCCATGATGGCGCAGGCGGCCAGGCGGTGGCATCTCCGGCAGGGACACTTGCTCGGAGGCAGGGCCGGGCTCCCCACCCGCCCATGGGGAACAATAGCCAGCGCCGGGCAGTATTTGACCAGCGATAATCTCGGCCCGTTGGGCAGCCGCTGGCCCCCTCCCTCTCCTCCCGATAAGGCTGCCCCAACCAGCCCCAACCACTGGTGCACACCAGCGGGGAGGCGGTGCCCGCGACTCACCGTTCACCTGCTGCGGGGAGTAGGCCTCGGAGCCCGAGTCTGGGGGCGAGTCCGGCAGGGTGCTGCAAGGACCGGAGGAGGGGCTGTTGGGCCAGCGGCCGGGTCCCCAGCCCTCAGGCCGGGCAGCCCCTCTGTGAGTTGGGGTCCACAGACACCCCCCAGAGGCTGGAGTCACCCTACGCTTTCTCTGTGCCACCTACCTTGGTGTGCCTGGCAGGGTCAGGTGATGAATTGTGGGTGGGGGCCTTGGGGTCTTGCCTAGGATCTAGGATCCCCTCAGACCTAATGGCCCCTGTGGACTGGTAACCAGGTCCCTGATGATGACACAGGGACTCAAGGACCCCCTCCCTAGGGGCCTAGGCCTGCTCCCCTCTCCCTGTACCCACCAGAGCCGTTCAGCTTCCCAGAGGCACTGGGCCTGGGTGCCGGGCCTCAGTAGTTCAGCGGGTCACTGGGGGCTGCCCTGCCAGGCAGGTGTGGGCTGGGCAGGGAGCCAGTTCTGTTGGGCCTGGCTTTTTGTTTCCTTGCAAGTTTTATTTTATCAGTGGTTCAGCAAAAAGAACAAACTCAAGCCCCAGAGGTCAACACGTCCTGTGTGAGCCCTGTGCTTGCCCAGCAAGAGGAGGGGCTGTGGCCTACGAGCAAGGAGGCTATTTGGCCATCCCTGGTCCCCTTATCCAGAGACTCCCCTCCATGGTACCCAGGGAACTGCCAGAAGGGACTCGGAGCCATCATGGACACAGCCTGCGCTCACCCTGGAGTCCCAGGGCATCCCTGGACAAGCCACCTGTCCCTTTGGTCCTTGTTTACAGATCTATGAAAACAACCCAAGAATGCAGACCCTAAAACAAGGCTGTGTGAGGTGACACCAAAAAGCAGGTGGGGACTGGCACCATACTCTCCCCACAGCCTCGGGGCCCGTGGGCGGATCCTGGTTTGTCCAGCTCCAAGTCCACCTGCCACCTCTCTCTGCACTTCCTGACAAGGGCCTTGAGTTAGGGTCTTTCCCACCATCCAGTCTCTGCCACCAAACGTCCTGGGTCCACTGCACTTTTCATTCTTTCTTCTTAAATTTATCTCCCTTCTCCTTATGCCTGTATTTGGTGATTGATTGATTGGTTGGTTGATTGATTTCTTCCCAGCACTGGTCACTGGTGTCGGAACCTAGAGCCTGCCCATGCAGGGAGAGTGCCCTACCACTGAGCCACACCTTCAGCTCTGTGAGGTATTAATACCCCTCTCCCCGTCTCAGCAGCAAACCCACCTAGGCCTGGGTCCCTGTGTGGCTCTGGACAAGCCCTCTTCCCTTTCAGAGCCATCAGAATCCTCTAGGAGGAGCTCCTAAGGCCGGCATCAGGGTCCCCCCAGAGCAGGGTCCCCACACACAGACACTGGGGGGCAGTCAGCGGGCACTAGCTGAATCTTGGTTTTCTCCTCTCTGCCTTCAGGCCTCTGTGTCTCAGGAACAGTGGCATGGCCTCAAACCGTCAGCCTGCCATCTGCTGCAGAGGTTCAGCCCTGGCACCCCAGCCTGGCCACTATCAGCCCGGGACTTGGGAAACCCTGCCAATAGCGTCCCAGGGCTACTATCCCCCCTGCACACCCCTCTGCTTACTCCCACCTGGCCCTCAGGAGGAAGCCTCTGGGGCTCCCTTAACAGAGAAGGAGGCTGTAGATCACCAGGGCAGGAGGCCGGCACAGGAGCCACAGCCAGGCTACCTGGGCACAGTGTGGTTCCTGCCCCGCACTCCAGCCCTCTCCCACCCAGACACAGGGTCCCTGCCCATGCCCAGGCTGGGGAATCAGAACTTCTCCCAGCTCGTCTGCAGAGCACGGCACACCCATGTTCTCTGCCTCTCCCCACGAGCCCGTGGGGTCAGGGGTCGCCCTGGAGTCTGGCTAGGCTGGTGGCCACCTGGATCCTTGGTTGAAGCCAGGCCAAGGCTCAGCCAGGGTCAGTCCACTGGTGTGGACTCCTCAGAGAGATGCGGGGAGCCAGGTTGGGCCCGGGAGAGTGAGGCTGTGTTGGGATGAGATGTGGCTCCGGGGACCACATATGAGCCCCAGGCAATTCCCAGGGCCACAGAAAATGTCAACTGCACGCACCTGGGCCTGGACGGGGCTGTGGAGGTGTTTGGGTACCTGGGTTTGTGCCTGTGTGTGCTGGGGTTCCCAGGGATGGAAACAGAGGAGGCCTCCAGCCCCGCCCGCTCCTGTCCACAGTGCACCTCATCAGCCCTCCTCACAGCCTGGCTCAGACCCCGCCGGCTGCCCACTGGTCCACCGCGGGACAACCCGTGGCCTGGGCCCTGCCTGCTGCCTGCTGCCAGCACCTTCAGGCCTGAGGCCACCAGGCGCAGGTTTCCCACTCCATCCGCTCCCCGCCCTCACTCACCCTGGGGCATAGGGAGCCTTGGGCTCTGCCTTGATGGGGGGCCCCGAGCCCCCCAGGAAGGGCTTCGGGGCGGCGCCCACGCCGTTGTTGTTGTTGCAGTTGAGTGGGGCACTGTAGCTCGGGGGCGGGAGGGGACCGTGGCGCACCGGGGAGGGTCCACCCCCAGGGGAGCTCAGGTGGTGGACCCCACCGGAGCCAGGGGCTGCAGGCTGCCCGTGGGGGAAGGAGGCGGCGCTGGCTGGAGCGGAGATGTCGGGGAAGCAGCTGCGGAGAAGGGACGAGGTCAGCCCAGCCGTGGGCCAGGCCTGGGAAGCGGCCGCCCCTCCCGAGGGAACTGTGCGGATGGCAGAGGGCGCCATGTTGGGAGAGGGGGAGGAGCAGCTTTCCGAGGTGGGACTGCGGGGTCTGCGCAGAGGGTGAGCAGCGGCTGGCCAAGGGGCCGGGGACTCACAGGTCCGAGGCGTCCTCCTTGCCGATGTACTCCTCCAGGATGCTGGTGTCGATGTTGGAGGGCTCCAGGGCGCCATTGATGTCGTGGCCTGCAGGGAGCGGGGAGCTGGGCTAGAGGGCCACAGCCCTGGCGACCCTACGCCTCTGGGCTCCGTCCTCCCCCAGGCCCAGCCTTGCAGACCTAGGCCCCAAGCTCTTCCCCTCTGTGTGTCCAGGCGGGGGTCCTTCACTGGCCACCCTGACACCCTTCAGGAGGGACTGATGATCCCCCCCACCCCGGCCCACAAGGCCACCTCCAACCTCCAGGGAGGTGAGAGGCCCAGAGTGTAGATCTGGGGACGAGGGGGCCACCCTTGCACCCCCGCGCTCCTTTCTGGATTGGTGACATGAGCCACAAATTTCCCTCTCCTCTGTAGCATGGGGTGCCTGTCCCCGTGTCTGTGGGACTGTGAGAGCAAACGAGGTGCTTTGGGGAGCTGAGGCCCACTACCCTCCATGGCTCAGATGCAGCACGGGTTGTCCTGCCCTGTCCTCCAGGATCCAGACAGCCAGCTGCGGGCACGTGAGCAGGACCACACTCCTGGGGAGCCCGGGAGTGGGGAGCCACCTGCAGCTGGCTCCACTGCAGTCAGAGGGCTCCTCTGACCCCTGGTCTGAGAGGCAGGGGCCCACAGGGAGGAGGGCTTGCCCTGTCCCACAGCGGGGTTCCACGGAGCTCAGGGTTCTGCTCTCCACTGTGGCCCTTTCTGGGCCCTCCCTGCTGGCCCCGGCCCCATGAAGGGGAGGGACTCAGAGAAAAGGCAGTCCAGGCTCCTGGGCATCATGGGGGGGGAGAGGGGGTTGGCGCTGGCCTTTCCTCTCCCAGGGTCACCTTGCGGGGGGAGCCAGAGGGCGGGGTGATAAGGGGGCTGACGTAGGAGATGCGTCAACCCCGATAATGGAGGGCTGCTCCACCCACCCTGCTGACCTGGGCTGGCCAGTCCCACTGAGGCAGGAAGGCTCCTTCCACAGGCCCCTGGAGCCCCAAGTCTGGGGTCTGCACTTCAGGCCCCCCTCTCTGATGAGCCCTGGGAACAGAACTCAGACAGCACAGGAACAGAACCCAGCTAAGCCACTCCATGCTGTGTGACCTTGGGTAGGCCAGGCCTTCTCTGAGCCTCAGTCTCCTCATTAGTAAAATGGGACAAGAATAGGGAACGCTTCTTAGGGTAGCTGTGAGTCTGTGGAGACAGGTCTTCGAAGTGCCCAGCGCTCGGTGAGGGCTCAGCGAACACCTTCCCTTCCCTTCCCAGCCCCGATCCGATCCCTGGGGTCCCTGAGCCCCCAGCCCAGGCCCCTCCCTGGCCCCAGCGGCATTTCAAGAATGCTGAGCCCCGCTTAGGTGATTAATGAGCTAAGCCCTCCTAGGAGTCACGCGCTGCCTGCACAGGCCAGGGCCCTCCTGCTGACCCCCACCCTGCTCACCCAGCTGGCAACGGAGACACCCACCACGCGCGGCCAATGGCTGACCACAGAGAAACTTGTTGAGCTAGGAAGGACTATCTGCATGCTGCATTCCCTCCCCTCCCGTCCTTCCCTGGTAACCACACTTGCCAATTTTAAGCACCTACTGTGTGCCAGGCATAGGAATTCATCATGTGCAAGCGTTCTGCCTGTGCCGCGCCACTCAATCCCACCATAGTGGTGACAATGAAGATGGTAGCTCCTACTGAGTGCCTACCACTATTTTGGGATTCATGATTGTGACGAGGACAACGATGGTGACAGTAGCGGAAAGCGCTCAGGCTGGCTGAAGCCCTGCACAGTTCTAAGTGCTTCGTGCATTTTCCCTCCCAGTCACCCCTGGATCTTGGTGGTGTCACTGCAGGACGGGCTGGAAGGTTCTGGAGGGCGGGTCAAGCCCAGGGAATGGGGAAGAAGGAAGGTTCTGGAGCGTGGCCCCCGTCCTGACAGCTGAAGCGCAGGTTTGGGAGGCTGAACTTGGAATCCGCGGGAATGATGGGCTGCCGTGGTCATGGTGCTGCTATTTATAACAAGCCCAGCCCTCCTCCTGCCTCCTCCCGCCAGGAGCACTCCTAATCGCCCCTAATCCTCCTGCCCACCTCCCCGGGTGGGGTGGGGGGCCTCGGGCAGAGGCATCCTGGGAGACCCTAACAAGAACCAGATGTGGCTGGGGGGAGGAGGGACCCTCCCGTGCCAGGGGCCGGGCGGACCGAGGGGGAGGAGGGAGCGACGGGCAGGTTGGGGGTGGGCCCGGGGCGGGGGGAGTTGGACGGCTGGGGAGCTGGAGGGCCTCCCGAGGAAGGCCGACCCCCGCCCTCTCCCTGGAGGCCCTCGAGGACGGCCTGGTCTTCTCCCCACACTGTCCAGACAAAGAGACCAGCCACCAGACAGAGGCCCCAGCATGTCCCATGAGCCACACTGGAGATCAGTACCAACATGGGCACTTGCTGGACCCTGGAACCCAGAGGCTGGAGCAGAACCCCAGGCGCAGGTAGAGGGTGCCCCTCCCCACTGCTGCCTAAAGAGCCCCAGACCGTCACTGGACCCCAACATGGGTACCTCGGTCCTCAAGGCCTCCCTGGAAGGAGGCTCCCTGGACGGGAGCTGCCAGAGGCTGCACAAGGCCCCACAACGGAAAAGTGCCGCCATGAGGTCACAAACCGCATCCCTGTCCTGCTCCCCTTCGGATATTGGATAAGGAGGCCCCGGGCCCTCCAGGTGTCCAAGGCTGGGCACTTTGGCCCCTCACCTGCCCGCCCCAGCCTCCTCCTGCCCCAGAGCGCCCTCCCCCCGTAATTCCCTCTTCCTTCCCATCCCGACACACCCCCATCCCACCCCCACATCAGGCCCTCTGCACAGCTGCTCCCCCGGCCAGAGAAAGTGGCTCCTCTTCACTCTTCAGGCTTCCGCTGAAATCATCCCAAGACTGTCCCCCCGGCCCACTGGACCGTCCCATCAGCACAGACCCCGGGGTGGAGCCCCGCACCACACCCTTCACTAGGCGCCCACTCAGCTCTCTGACACCCGCCAAGGGCAGGTGCTTTCCTTTCTCTCTGTTTACGGATGAGGAAACTGAGGCTGGGGGTTTCCAGGGATACCCTTCTGGGATACCAGTATCCCAGCACACAGTAGGCACGCAGGAAAAGTCCAAGGGAGGAATCGTGGAGTGGCGAGCCAGAGTCTGGGACCAGGCCTGCTGGCGTGGGGACCTAGGCCATCCTGTGCTTCTGGTCCAGAGCACAGGCTCCCCGAGGGCCGCCCCGTCCTGCGGGCCCAGTGCCCAGCTGCTTCTCCTCCCTGAGGCCCTTCGTTACCTGCTTTGAACAGGAGCCAGACACTGGTCTTTCCTGGGTGGGCCAGACGGTGGGAAAGTGGCCCTCTCCCCTCCTCTCTCCACCTCGCTTCAAGACCACCCAGCTGGGCAGGAGAGGAACTGAGGGGACCCAGCCAGGTGCAGGACGGAGCAGGCAGGGACCCAGGTGGTCTCTCCACCCTGGGCCCCTCCCTCACACCCCTCCTCGTGCTCATGCCCCCCCCCCCCCACCAGCTGTGGCTGCTGGCTGAGTCTGGGCCATTGTCCCATGGGACGGGGGAGGGTGGGGACCCGGCACAGTGGGAGGCTTGTGCCCTGCCCACCCCCTCCCTTGCCCGTCAATGGGGCACTTGTCAATTCATGCCCCAAACATGGCGGAAATCCCATCGGCCACGTGGCTGTGGGCAGGGTGGGCCAGGGTCTGAGGATGCTGGTCAGACCTGGTTGCTCTGAACTTGGGGTGGACAAGGCACCAGGACCCAAGCCTGTCCCCTGAGTGTCCACCCCAGGCATCTGAATCTGAGGGGTGTCCTACCTCTAGGAAATAGAGAAACTACCCACCTGAGCACCTTCAGGGCATCATGAGGGCCTGTGGGTCCAAGAGGCCTGGCTTCCAATGTGAACCCTCACTTCCTTGCTGTGTGGCCCTCAGCAAGTACCCTGACCTCTCTGAGTCCTGGCTTGCTTCTCTCTCAAGGAGAGCATGAACCCCTGCATCCCAGGGTGGTGGGAGCCTTAAGCCAGGTGAGCCCCAGGAGGCCATTCCACTATCTGTTCCCATCTCTGTCTCTCCCACCCCCCTTCCCGCCCTCACACCTCTCCACTCCACCCCTTCCCCTCCACCTTCCCACCCATCTGCTCCAGGGACCTCTAGAGACTCCAGGGGGCCCCACACCTCATCCTAAGTCCTCTGAGGCATGAACAGTAAGGTGCTGCTATCCTTGTACGTGGGTGGCACAGTCCAGCCTCTTGGCCTTGGCCGCAGCCCTAAGATGCCCCCAAGTCAGGTCAAGAGTCCTGGGCCAGCCCACACTGGGTCCCGGGACACTGTTTCTCTCTGGGGCCCGCAGACTTCACTCCACAGGGAAAAGCTAGTCTCCACCCAGTGCCTCTGACCCTGTCCTACAGGAACGAGGGCAGGCAGGCCACACAGGCTGTGCAGCGACCGTGCAGCCGAGTTCCCGCGCCCGTCTGTATGAACACAGCAGCGTTCCCCACATACGGCACACTCCAACATGCATACACGTACATATGGGCACACCCCAGGGTCAGGTGTCCACCGATGTGCATGATCCTCCCCGGCCTGCCCCTGCCCCTGCCCAGCACACACTGACACACACTTGGCTCATTCAGGTAAGCGCTCACCACGTGTCAGGCACAGTGCTAGGCTCTGGGAACACAGTGGTGAACAAGAGGCAAGACCCCTGCAAGGAGCTGACACTGCAAGGGACAGAGTCAGGTGACAAGGTAGGTCAGTGAAATCCACTGCATTTTAGAATCCAGGCCGTGGGGACAGAGGCCCTGAGGCCAGAGCATGCCTGTGCACACTCACGGCATGTGCACCAGGACCCAGGCACAGGACCGAGGCAGGCCGAGGCCATCGCCCCTCTCAGGGCACAGCTTCATACACTTGGGTCCCAACCCACCTTCCCCGCCCCCTCCTTCCCTCAATCCCCCTCCCCACCGGAGCCAGACCCAACTGAGTCAGCCCAGGAAGGGCAGCACCCCCCACCCCCGCTTCCAAGCTACCAGGAAAGCTAGCCACAGACCCAAGCTGCTGGCAGAGGAGGACAAACAGCCCAGGACAAGGACAGGATGTCTATCATGGAGGCCGCAGAAGGCTCTGGACCAAACTGTCCCCTCCTCGGGCTCTTTGCTCTTCCTCCCCCTCCCCCTCCAGGCCTGGGCACTTTTGGGGTCTGCTCACACGGACAACCTTGACCAGAAGAGGGAGGGGCTAAGGGCTGGATGGACATCACGGAGCCCGGCCTTCAGCAGTGGGTCAGGACCCCCAGTGTGCACTGAGGGGAGGCCCTTTCCCGTCCATCCCAGGCTAGCACCCAGCTGTGACCAGGATCCCGTCCCACCTCTGCTGTGGCCACCCCGAGGAGCTCGACACAGCACCGTCCTCTCCCCGGCGTCTCCCCCGGCTACCTTCCAGGCAGGACCCCAGGAAGACCACAGTGCAGAGCACCCGGCCGCGCGCTCCAGGCCTTCGCCAGACTGGGTCCCTCCCTGTCCCCTGGGAACAAGTCTTGCATCTCCCAGGGGGAGGATGGAACAGGCCGAAACGATGTTGCTGGGGACCAGGACCCAGCACCAGGACCAGGCCAGGCCAGACCTGTCGTGCTGAGGCCCCTGCACACAAGCCACACTCAAGGGCTCACAGTTCCCCTCACCCCTGAAATAAGGACCCAAAGAGGGTGAGAGGCTATCCCAAAGCATACAGCATCAGCTGCAGGGCCCCTGCCTGAGCTTGGGAGCATCAACCCACCCTGTGGGCCAGTAATCCTCCAGGTGGGGCCCGTCACACCTGCCCGGGGCCTGCAGGTGAGCCTGTGCCAGCCTGTGGGACACGCAGTGGACGGAGGCTGACATTTAGGGCACAGGACCCAGGCCAGGCCCTAACCCAGCCCTTCCCAGGTGCTGTCCTACCAGTCCTCACAGAGGCCCTGGGAGGAGGTGCTAACCCGCACTACAACTCTACTCCCCGTTTACAGATGAGAAGTGAGAACAAGGAGGGGCAGGGACACACCCATGGGGGACTCTGCAGGCAGCTGCCCACCCAGCTCCCACACAGCCCGTTACATCATCCCTCCTCTGCCCCCAGCCACGGGCCACTGCCCCGATGTCAGAGGAGGCCCACCATTCCCCAGCTCCCCGGGTCGGAGGGAAACCGAGGCCAGAGAAGGAAAAAGGTGGAAATCAGGGGGCAGGCTGCCTGCCCAGGGCGGGGCCACCCCCAGTTAATGATTCGGTTAATGATTTCTGCTCTGGTCCTTATCGGGGAGGGCAAAGTCCATGGGCAGCAGCCAATCAGCAGCCCTACTGGGCTGTTACCCAGCAGCCTCTGCTGCCAGGGTCCCCCAGTGCCGAGACCTCTTGGCAGTTGGGAAGGGGGTCAGGTTCCCAGGGAGGAGGCCATTCTGCCCAGTGACCTATCTGTCCCCAAACATCTAAGACCCTAAGAAACACTCTGTCTAGTCCCCCAGATTTGGGAGAGACCCCAAGTGCAGGGATTGCTGTGGCCTGCTCCTCACCCCTGGGCTGACCCCAAGCCCTCCCAGAGTCCTGCCCAGGATGCACCCCCACCCCACCCCCAAGGCTTCTGTTCACCTATCAGTTGCAGCCTCCGTTGACCAGGAACACTCCCTGTCACCAGCTCTGCCATGTGGCTCTGTACTGGAGGTGGGGACGTGGGGATGAGTCAGACCCCCCCAGGATCACTTCCCCTCTGCCTGGCCCCAGGACCTGAGGGGTGGGTCTGGCAATCCACTTGTGGATTGGGGCGAGGACAGGAGTCCTGGGGGATGGGCCTAGGAGACACCTCATTTCCTTTCCCAGGTGTCAGGGGTCAGGACATTTGGCTGCCTCCCCCATCCACTAGTCCCTGGGTGCTCTGCAGGCAGACAGCCCACCCGTCACACTTCCCAGCTCAATCCAGATCCCAGGCAGATACGGGTCCTCTCCCCCAAATCTCCACCAGAGGCTCCTACTCTCTAGAGAGCAGGCAGAGCTCCTCTCCCTGACAGGTAGCCCACCACTCAAGGCCCTGGGGGTGGAGGAGAGAACTGGGGGCGGCCCTGGCTAACTCTGGCTACCTCCCTCCTCTTGGAGCCATAGTCTTGGCCCCGGGGAAAGGGGGCCCATTCCATCCCCTTCTGCCTTCCCTCCGTAGGAAGGGTGTCCCTCAAACCAGAGTCCTGGGAGAGCCCAGTCCCCCTTGGTCCACTTTGCATGTCCTATCTGGAGGCCATGAGTTTGTCTTTGATGGCTAAAAATAATCACATTTGAAGAACCTGCTCGGGTCCCACTGGCCTACCTACTCTCACAAGGGACATGGGGCCAGAGAAGAAGTAAACCTGTCCACGCTACATCGGGTTCAGAAGGGAGATCCAGGTCCCCTGCCGGCCTCGGTGGGTCTCTGGAGGCTGGGTGGGGGCCTTGCCTGCACCTGCGGGTCCCAGTTCCTCATCTCCAGGATCCTCCACACCGACCTGCTTTCTTGGGGGCCCTGGCTGCTCTGGAGCCTTATATCTCCTAGAATAGGAAGCCAGCACCCACCCGCTCTGCGCTCAGCCATTCATACTCTACAACATCCTCCCTCCCAGGACTTCAGGGCCTCAGAGCGGAAGGCACCATGGAAACCTTCTCCACCACCCGCCCCTGTCTTGCAGGTAAGAAAAAGGGTCCCAGGAAGAGCAAGGCCCCTGACAGGATCAGACAGCTCTGAGTGGCCCAACCTGCACCAGAAGCTCTTAAGGTCCTGGCCAGATCCTGCAGTGCTGCCTGTCCTGTCCCTGCCTTGGCTTTGGGAGCCTAAGGCCCCAACCGGCCGGAGATGAGAAGCACACCCGCCACCTCCACCCAGTTACCTGCTGGGAGCCAGTGCATCCTGCCCGTCAGGTCCCCTCTCTACAGGCCCTGTGCCCGCTGATCTGGGCTGCTGTTACCTCTCTCTAGGGGATTAGCCAGGCGGTCACACGGGGGCCCGGCTGTACCAGCCTCGAGGGGGCCGCCCTGTCCCGGCTTCCCACCCGAGGCCCAAAGCGCCTTAGCCCCCAGCCCCACCACGCGCACAGGCAGGACCCGGGACACACGCCTGTGTGCTAAGGGAGCGCCATGACCCACTCATGTCCCAGGCACCAGGGGCCGGGGCGCTGCCACCCCTGAGGGTGGGAGCACACATGACTCCCACGAGCTCAGGGGAGACCCGTCCACACGCACCAACTCTTCCCCCTCCATCACCTTGACTCACACACCCGAGAGCACACGGGGCCCTGGGCTCCCAGGCTCCCTCAGCCCCCACAGCATCCCCCTGTCATTCCCCCCATTCCCCAGGCCTTCCCCTCCCAAGTAGCCCCAGAGGCCGACCCTCACAGCCCACCCCCGCCCCATCCCAGCTCTGGAGACTTCCACAGCCCAGCCCTCCTGGGAGGGCGGCCCCACACCCGCCCTGCTCCCCACAGACATTCTTGAGTCTCCTCTTATCTCTCTGGAGGGAGCAGCTCGGCCTCCCTGCCAGGCAGCCGCATGGCTGAGCTGTGGCGTCAGCCCCCCCTCCCCGCCCCCACCCGTGGCCAGGAGAAAAGGTTTGGCGAAGGAGCCGGGAGCCCATGCCAGCAGGTCCACCCCTCTGCCAGGCCCAGGTCCTGGGGGAGGAGGCCCAGGGCTCTCTCTGGGAATGAAGTGGGCAGGGTTCGTGGGTCATCTGAGTACTTAGGAGGCACAAGGCCACCTGAGCAGTACCCCCAGGCAAAGACCAGGGTCTCCTTCCCTCTGTCCTGGGAACCTCAAGTCCCGAGAGACCTCTGGAGAGCTCCTGAAGGAGGAACAGTGTCCTGGGAGAAGGGGAGGCCCTGGGGGTGATGAGGGCTGCCTAGAACCCTCAAAGGGCCCAGCGGTACCGGGTCAACCACATAACCTAGTCAAGCCTGGCCACTGGGGACTTGGGTCTGCCAGGGTGTCCGGCATCCTAGAGTGGGGCAGCCAGAGGCCTGCGGATGCCCTTGTCTGCGCTACTCAGCTAGCAGGAGTTGAAGAAAGTCCCCACCCCCAGGTCACACAGAGAGAAACTGAGGCAAAAAAGGCCTTCCTCCCCGGCCCAGGGGATTCCCAAGGGAACTGGGAACTGGCCTTGAAACCTGGGCCTCAATTCCCATGCAGTGGCCCCACAGTCCCCGTCACAGCATGGCCAGAGGCAGCCTCAGCTTAACGGAAGGTTCTGAAGGTACTCAAGAGCAGGATGTGGGTTTGGGGGCTCCGGGTGAGCAGGTAGGCTCCCCAAGATGGTTGAGAGGGACACAAAAGGGGCCATCTGGCTACATGTTCCAAGATGGGTGTGAGAGGCAGGATCGGCTGGGGGATGTCAGCCCGCACCTCCCCCTCCCCTCCCCCTCCCACGCGGCCCTTCCCTCCTGAACTCATCCAGGAGGGGCAGCCCTGGAGGAGGGGCAGGAGTTGTTCAGGGAGGAGGTTAAACGTAGAGGCGGACTTCTAAAACCAACGTGGGGGTGGGGGGAAGAAAATATGGTGGGGTCTCTACAGATCCCACCCCGAGGAGGGTACTTTCAGGGTCAAGGTGAGGAGGTGAGCTCACTCCTGTGGGAGGAGGAAGCACAGCTCCACGGACAGGAATGGGTGTACGGTCCCAGGGAGGCTCATGGGGCTGGTGAGATGCCCTCTGTGGGACTGGAAGGGTCCCCCAGAGCGGAGATGGCTGGTGGCAGGGATGCCAGTTTCGAGAAGGTTCCAGCCCTAGGAGAGCATGCTAGAGTGGGGTCCCAACCCCAGGTGGTGGAAAGGCAGCTGCTTCAAAGGTGATTTCAGCTTTGGAGGAGAAAGCAACACTACCCAAGGCAGGTGACAAGTCTCCAAGGAGGTCAGTCCCCAAGGGGGTTCTATTCCCAGGGGAACACAGCCAGGAGGTCCAAGCTCCTGCGAGTCAGACTGAGGGGAGGGGCCAACCTGAAAGGCACACAAGGGGGTCTTGGTCTCTGGGCAACAGGCTGGGCACTAGCTTGCCAGCCTTAATAGGTACAGAAAGTCCTAGAAAGTGTGCTGGGTCTGGTCTGGATGGGGTTCCAAGGAAGCACAGCAGAGGGTCCCCGGACTCGGGAAGTGTGCTGGGGAGGGAGTGCCACCAGTTAGGGGAACTGCAAGTCCTGAGTCTGAAAGAGGACACAGCTCTGTCCTGTTGCTGGGCTGGCAGGGGAGCCCAGTCCAGTGGAGGTGGGTAGTAACCTCCGGGAGACTCAGTCCTGGGGCCACGCGCACGGCAGGCTGGTGCCAACCAGGAGGAGGATCCCTGCACTGAGGAGGTGTTCTGGGGGTCCCGGCGTGGCGGGAGCCTAGGGCGGTCCCCGTCCCCCGGGAGAGCGGCTGGGGGATCCCAGCGCAGGAGAGTCGCCGCCCCACAAGCCCGCGGTCTCTCACCTTCGAAGAAGCGCTGCAGCGCCTCGGTCTCGTCCACCACCTCCATGTCCGGCCTGCCCGGCGCGCGCTCCGGCCGCGGCCCCGCTACAGCCCGGCCCCGGGGCGCGGCATCGCCGGCGGGGCCCGCGCGACAGTCCCGGCTGGGCTCCGGCTGCGGTCCCGCCCGGCCAGCCGCACACTCGCCCCCCGCGCGGCCCCGGCCCGGCCCCCGCCCGCCCGCCCCCTGCACCCCGCGCCCCGCCCGCCGCGCACAGCGCCCCCTGCCGGCCAGGCCGGGTCTGGCCCGCGCCGCAGGACGCGGCATCTCCTGCAGGCGGCGCTGGGTGCGGGGTCCTGCCCCAGGTCTGGGGCTCGGGAGGTCTGGCCCTATGCGGGACGTGAAAGGCGTACGGGTTGGCCAGGGTGGCAGTGGTCAGTGACATCTCACCTTTTCTTTGGTCAGGAAAAGGTTTCAGAATTTAGCATCTGGGATTTTCAGAACCAAATCTCCCAACATTTAATGAAAATTTGTTCTGTGCCACTTCTGCATTAAGCGCTCAACAGGTGCTACCTCAGCCCTCGCAGGCACCCTACCAAGGAAGTACTATGACTCCTTGCAGTTTGCAGATAAGGAAACTGAGGCTTAATGAGGTGAAGTTCTGTCGGAAGGAGCACTGTCCTCCAGAACTTTCTGGATTGGTGGAAAGTTCTCTGTGCTGTCCAACATGGTAGTCACACACTGGTCATTGAAACTGAAGAACTGACTTTCACTTTTATTTGATTTTATTTGGCTTAAAAACAGTCACCTGTGGCAAAGGTATTGGCCAAGGCAAGTCTAAGAGTTTCAAGCCCCATAGGTTCAGAGCCAAATCCTGGCTGATGCAGGAAGCCCTGCTCTCATTCACAGGTTCCCTGTCTGGTCAGGCAGTACCTGAAGGCTTTGTCTACAGGTGTATCAGGATAGAGCCATCCCCCTTGCCTTTGACCTGTGCCTCCTGCTCTCTGTCCAGCCTGCCTGACTGTACAACCTCTCTCCTACAGATCCCCTTCTTCAGTCTTCATAAAGCACAATTCAGGTCCTTTCATCCCTTTGCTAAGACCAGTAGTTTCCTCTTGCACTTGAACATCTAAACCTCATGCCCTGGCTTCTGCAGCCTTGGCGGCTGCTCCATCCCTACCTGAACCACTGACTTCAGCTCCCGCTTTTCTGTCACTCACCAAACCATTGCCACTGAGCTCTCCTTCCTATTACCCAAACACGTCAGGCCCACATCTGCCCCAGGGACTTGGCATCCATCAACAATGCTTGTCCCTACATTCTTTCTCAACAATCAGGTCTCAGCTTACATGTCACCACCCTATCCTACCTAAATCAGATCTCCCAGGCCTAGGCCTTTCTTCTCACCTAGGCCTTTCTCATCACCTGGAATTCTGATATTCCGCTTCTCCTCACTCTAGAATGGAAAGCCTATGAGGGCAAGAGATTTTTCTGTCTTGGGCACTGCTATAACTCAACACCTGGCACAAAATAGGTGTCTAATAAGTAATTCTTATGCCGGTTGCGGTGGTGCATGCCTGTAATCCCTGTAATTCTAGCAACTAGGGAGGCTGAGGCAGGAGGATTGCAAGTTTGAGGACAGCCTCGCAACTTAGTGAGACCTTGTCTCAAAATAAAAAATAAAAGGGGCTGGGGATGTAGCTCAATGGTAAAGTGTCCCTGGGTTCAATCCCCAGACTGCAAAAAATAAGTCAGTGTGAATGAATGGACAATGATGTCGTCCAACTACAGACTCCTAGATCTCAAACCTTGGAAGCAGAGACTTCTGGAATCCCAGGACCAATGATCATCTCACTACAGAGTGGCTCAACTCACAGCCACTCAGTACCCTTAGGTACAGCAGGTCGGAACTGGAAAGACCCACCTCACCCCACCACTGTTTGACAAAACTGAGGTCTGGACAAAACAGAGGTGGGGGGGACTTGTGTTAGGTCCAGATGACCACCTAGCCAGCCTGGAACTCTCAACCCTGCCCGGCAGAGGCTCCCAGAGGAGGGCGGGGCCCAAGCCAGGCTGTGTGATAGGGACCGGGTGAAATGCCCATGAGTTGCTCCCACCCCCTCCTTGCCTCCCTCCTCCCTGGTGGCCAGCCATGGGGGAGGGGTGGCCGATGCCTGAGCCCCAGATGTGGCCCAGTCAGCAGGCCCGTAGTGGCCCCACCGAGGAGGGTCAATGCCACGACAGTTCTGGGCTTGGGGGAGGGGGTGCCCAGGCTGGCGGGTGTCTCACAATGAGGTTTTGTCTCTCCGGGGGCGGCTCCCAGAGCTGTTGCTCTTAGGTATATAGAATGGGATTTTGCCGGAGGCCCAGCTGTGTGTGCTGACCCACACTCCCCCTCCGCTTGCAGGGACTGGACTGAGGGGGGAGAGGGGCCGCACTGAGCCACCCATTCTTTTCCAGCTGATGCGCCCAGAGGTTTGTCCCCTCTGCAGACTCCCCAAGACAATTGTTATTCTCCACCCCGGCCC